GCCTCAGGGGTCGGTTCTTGGTCCGGTACTGTTCCTCCTCTAACGACCTCCCATCAGTTGTTCAAAAGGGTGAAATATGTCTTTTTGCTGACGACACCTCTCTCGCTGTCTCCAGCCCAAACCGACTCGAACTAGACATGTGTGCCTTTATACAAGCCAGTTGCTTGTTGCAGTGGTTCGACGAAAATCTCCTCAAAATCAATCCAACAAAAACTCAGCTCGTTGAATTCTCAATTAGGAAAACCAAAAACAAACAAAATTTTATTTTGGACGACACTGAAACTGAAACCACTGCTCAAGTAAAATTCCTGGGTTTGTTGTTGGACGAGAACTTGTGTTTCAAACCCCACATTGATTGTCTGTAGAAAGATCAGTTCAGGAATTTTTCTTCTGCGCCAACTAGCAAAATTTTCAAACAAAGATGTACTTCTTACTGCTTACTACGGTGTACTTTATCCACACATGATATATGCAGTTGCACTATGGGGAGGTGAAAGCACAAGAACCCATTTCCTTTTTCGCCTTCAAAGGAGAGCTATCAGAATAATTCACGGCCTTCCCTACAAACAAACTTGTAGAGCTGTATTTAAATCATCCGCAATTCTAACTTTTCCCTGTATTTACATTCTAGAAGTCCTCACTTTTCTGAAGTCAAATTATTCTCATTTCCACACCACAACCACCCACTCATATCTGCTTCGCAATACTTTCAATCTGAGAATTCCAGCCCATTCAACCACATTCTTTGAAAGACATCTAAATTATAATGCCATCAAACTGTTCAATGCTCTCCCACTTCAAATCAAGTCCACATCAGATCCGGGATGCTTCAAAAGGCACTTGAGGTCATTTCTCGTGGGTAAAGGCTACTACAGTGTCCGCGCCTTTCTCGCTGACGGACAGTCCTAATGAATTTTAATTATTATATTAAAAGTTAGTTAATAGTTATTTTTAGTAAATTTGACTTGGCTAATGCATTTGTAATGTTGATCTGGCTAAATAAATGAGTTATTGAGTTATTGAGGTATCTGCAATCCTAAAATACTATTGGAAGGGAAGGAAACAGGTCCGTGACGTACTGTTTATGACGATTAGATTAAGGTATCTGCATTCCTTAAATTCTATAGGAAGGGAGGAAAACGGGTCCGCGACGTAGGAAGTGGTGAAGGAAGTAGTCAAGGTGAGCTTTCCGGGGTGTGGAAACTTTTTATGACGATTAGATTTAGGTATCTGCATTCCTAAAACTCTATGGGAACCGAGGAAAACGGGTCCGCGACGTAGGAAGTGGTGAAGGAAGTAGTCAAGGCGAGCTGTAAGTAGTGTGGGAACTGTTTATGACAATTAGATTAAGGTATCTGCAATCCTAAAATGCTCTTGGAAGGGAAGGAAACGGGTCCGCGACGTAGGAAGTGGTGAAGGAAGTAGTAAAGGCGAGATGTTTGGGGTATGGGATCTGTTTATGACCATTAGATTAAGAGTCTTCCGTAGAGGAAGCCATGTTGGATTTCTTCCCCATAAGAACAATGTTAGAACATACATCATTTGTGGACACGTAACGGCGTTGTTTGTTAAGATATAGCTTTGAAATTTATAATTTGTATTTTTAACATAATAGACTCGTGACTGAGGTTTTTGAATTTCGAAAATCCATTTTCATTTCCTTTCAATAATTAGCTTAACTTTAAGCTAATTAATAATCAATTATTCATTATAAAAATTAAAAATTGTGAAATAAAAAACGTCAATCACTAGAGGACCGCAATTCCTTAAATTTAACTCCTTATCCATAATTATATGACAATTTGCTGATGAGATATTTGGACCCAAAGTTAAGATTGTTCTTATGGGGAAAAAATCCAACATGGCTTCCACTACGGAAGACTCTTAAGGTATTTGCAATCCTAAAATGCTATTAAACGCGATATGTTCGGGGTATGGGATCTGTTTATGACCATTAAATTTAGGTATTTGCAATCCTAAAATGCTATGGGAAGGGAGGTAAACAGGTCTGTGACGTAGGAAGTGATGAAGGAAGCAGTAAAGGCGAGTTTTTCGGAGTGTGGGAACTGATCTGCAATCCTAAAATGCTATGGAAAGGGAGGGAAACAGGTCCGCCCTGCTAACCTTTACTACTTCTTTCACCATTTTATATTTTGTGGGCATGCTTCCATCCCTTCTCATAGCAATTCAGCATTGCAGATACATTAATCTAACTGCTACAAATGGTTTCCAGTTCCCAAACTCCACACTGCTCACCTTACTACTTCCTTCACCTCTTCTTACGTCGCAGACCTGTTTCCCTCTCTTCCCATAGAATTTTAAGATTGTAGATACCAAGATACCTTAATCTAATCGTCATAAACAGTTCCCACACTCCGAAAAACTCGCCTTTACTTTCCTTCATCTCTTCCTACGTCACGGACCTGTTTACCTGTGAAGGAAGTAGTAAAGGTGGGCAGTGTTGAGTGTGGGGATGGATTAATGTATCTGCAATGCTAAAATGCTATGGGAAGAGGCTTGTTAAAATGATTATGAAGCACGAATCGTTACATATTTCGATACGTATTCAATCGTTTACAATAGAAATTTACAAGTGAGTTGACAACAGCTGAGTTTTACTCCATAGAGGCTAAAAACGAATTTTATTTCCTAAGAGTAAAAATGCTACTTTAGACCCGGAACGCATGCATCAATGACGACTGTTTTTACTGCAGTATGACAAAAACGATATAATATGATGAACCCTTGATGACTCCGCTCAATTTTGTGGATGCATCTGCGAACGCCAACTAGTTAATTCGTTATTAAGGTCGCAATAGGCTACATTTGCATAATCAAATAATGGTAAAATTAAAGATGTCACCATCAGTTTCTTTATATGTGTAGGTGGATTAAAACACAATATTTTAAACTTATATAAACATTGAAATAACTTTCTATAAACAGAATCAACTTGCATACGCCACGATAAATCATTACACATTCTTAAACCTAGATTAACAATGTTTGTTTCTAAATTTAATTGAACATTATTTATTAGCAAAGGCGTCAAGTTATTTGCTTGTACTAGAGGTAACATACGTGATGGCCCAAACAATATAGGCTTACACTTAGATATATTAAGTTGCAGTCCATGACTTGTGCACCATTGATGTAATGATGTCAGATCTGCATTCACTGAACGTACTGCATCATCGACGGAATTAATATTACAATCTATATAAAGCTGCATATCATCTGCGTACATCATATAATTACAAAAAATAAGAGAACTACCAATTTTATTAATATAAAGTGTAAAGAGTAGAGCTGACAATGTGGATCCTTGAGGAACTCCTACACTATTAGAACGCCACTCTGAAATGTTTCCTGCTTGAGTTTTAACCCTTTGCTGTCTATCACTTAAATAATCCGTAAACCACTTAAGAACAGACTTTTCAAAATTATATGATTCTAAAATAGAAAGTAACAACTTATGATTAACAGAATCAAAAGCACGGCTGAAATCGAGTAACATTAACAAACATACTTTTTTATTATCTAAAGTACGTCTAATATCATCTGTGATCTTGATTAGTGCAGTTTAAGTGCTAAAATGAGAGCGATAACCCGATTGATATTTATCTAAAATATTATTCATATTTACATATTTGGTTGTAGACAATTTTATCCAATACTTTATCCAAAACACTTAATAAATTTATTGGTCTATAGTCCTTAGACTCTGATGGGGTTTTTGATTTTGGTAAAGGCAATACAAGAGATTTTTTCCATTGACTTGGATAGACGAGAGGGAGAGAGAGAGGTGTTTGGCCGAAGCCCAGCGGTCCCTCCACCACCCCTGGTTTAAGTCAGAGACTTATTCACCAGGCCGCTTTCCTGAAATATCTTCGGATTCCTCTTCCTGCTGTCAGCTTCAATCCATGTCCTTCCAGGCACATTCTGTGCCTAACCAACACCTCTCCCCTCACCTAGTACCCTCTGTACTAGGGTCATCGGATTTTTTTTTCTTTCTTTTCAATTTTCTTAATTTTATCTTTCTTTCCTAACATTTTTCTTTTCAAATTCCAGCCTGTCTTCCTGCATTTTCAAATTCATGCTTTTTCTTCCCTATCCTTCGGCACATTCTGGCAAACTCCAGCGCAGATTCTTTGGTTCTCAAGAAGTTGATCTTCACCCAATCCCATGTCTTTTGTTGGAGGAATTCCCTCATGTCGCTTCTTTCTTCTTCATAGAATGGGCACTCCATCAGTACGTGCTGCGATGTCTCCAGCTCTCCGCAATGAGTGCAATGATCGTCATCGACGAGGTTGAAACTTTTCAGCTTTGCCTTGAAGTTGCCGTGTCCGCTGACGAACTGTGTCGTGTAGTGATCGGTTTCCCAATGGACTTTCTTTCTGAACCTCACATCCGGAACGAACGCAAAGGTTTCCCTTCCTTTTGTGCTAGACTCCCACCGTCTCTGCCAGTCAACAAGTGTTTCTTCTCTTCGGATCCTCATGCTATCCTTGATGTCGATACCTTCTTCTTTGTCCCTTCTTCTCTTAATCCTTTCTTCAACCATCAAGTCAAGCGGGATGACCCCGGCAATCACTCGGACAGCTTCGTGGGATATCGTGCTGTAGCCCTTGATCACACCCAACAACAGTTTTCTCTGCAGACTCATCAACTTAGACTTCTCACCTCGTCCCCTCATTCGTTGGCCCCACATCTCACAGCCGTACAGCATCATTGGTTCAAGCGCACCGATGTACAATCTTCTCAAGTTCTCGCATCTCATGCCGTTGTTTGCCTTGGCCAGTCCTTTTAACTTTCCGAATGCCTTCATAGTCTTGTCGATTACTTGCTCATAATGTCCTGCAAATTTCAATCCACTTCTTACTGCGACTCCTAAGTACTTTGTCTCATTTGAACACCGAATTGTCACGTCTCAGAGGGGGAGAGAGAGAGAGAGAGAGAGAGAGAGAGAGTGAGTGGGGGGGAGTGAGAGGGGGGAGAGAGAGAGGGCTCGCCGCTGGCCCACAGGGACAGAGCAGTGACGGCCCTTTGGGGCTACCAGTCGCCTGTACAGGCCCTGTAGTGAGTCGGTGCATACTTGTTTTGTGTGTATGAGTGGGGTTTGGTGTGTGTAGTGTTTGTGTGTGTGTGTGTGTGTGTGTCCGTTAGCACGATAACTCGAGCAAAACTTATCCGATTTTGACAAAATTAGGTATAAACGTGTAAACCTACATTTATTCGAACGAATTCACGTACCAGCTTGATCGGAATATGGGAACGGTGGTTTAATGGTGGTTTTATGGTCTAAAATTGTTTTTCCCTATTTTTTAACCAAAAAAACATAAAAAATTGCAATTTCGTCCAAACCATTTTGTATAGCTTAAAAACAAATCATTTTGTATATTGAAGCGTTATCATGCGCCTAATGGTTACGGAGAAAATTCCGAAAAAAATTTAAATTTCAAATTCCCATGTTATTCTTATACAGAATAAGTCAACTATTGTAGATTGCTTGTTTATGAACATATTTTGATTAAATTTGGAAAATGAATTCATATCTTACTAAACTATTAACATTTGACAAAAACGCTTTTTTACCCTCCCTGTTTTAGAAAGCCTAAGTACTCGTTAAACTAATTATATTTAAGTAGGAAATAAATTTGATATTTTTAAGGAGACACTTTAGTGTAAATCCAATCAGGCAAATGGAAATTCACTTAGTCTGCAGGTTTGCTGCGGTGAGGGTATTTAGCCATTCTACATAACCGACTTTGATATGTAGGTGTCATTTTAAAGTTTATAACCCAGCGAATGGCAACGAACCGATATTTTCCACACGGGTTTCGCCCCCCCCCCTGGTTTTAAATTCTTTCTAGAGTTCTCATTGTAACGTCCCAACTTTCTTTGTAACGGTTTGAATATGAATTGTAATCCACCAGCTGATCCTTCAGTTGGATGTTAACCGCAGTAAATCCGTAAACAAGACCGACGAAACGAAACAAACGGTTTACGAAAATTGATTTTTCAAAGAGGCAACTGTTTATAATTATTGAAACATGATTTAGGTAGATAAATATCCCTTTAGTCTTTATGGTGTAGATCTACATATTTGAAAAGTAATAGGGAGCTGCATTTTAAATTTTAGTTCTTGAAAACATGTTTTGAACCCAATTAAAATGCACCCTGGCAGCTCTAAAAATGTTAATTTCGACGAATTATACGTAAAAATTGCTTAACATACCAAACAGGTGTGAACCATTAAAAAATACCTCGCACAGTTAGGTAATACAAGTTGTGTAATACTAACCGTGTGCTGTGTTGGATAGTCCGCTGAAATACTGAGTTTATGTATATCTTCATTCAACCTAAGACGACGTAGAGGTGAACATGTTAGTTTTTCCAGTGTTAACATTGTTTGTTTTTCTACAGGTAGTGACCGCTGACACTTCACTAGATAAAACTTTTGAACAATTGAAAAGTAGCTTACTTGCGGTAAAGTACAAGACGAGTGCCATTCAAGGTACATTCAAATACTCAAAAACGCTCTCCGAGCCCGGGATCATTGAACCCACAGAAGGTTGCGGGTGCGTTAAAGGATGGTCTTTATCAATCTATGACCCTATGTGGGACAAAGAAGATGATAAGTTTATCTTGAATGGACTTAGATTCAATACTCTCACTTTGCACGTAAACTCATTCTACACGTCGAGTAAAAAGGTCACACAAAATACATGGTATAAACCTTCAATGCTGGACTTTGATTGCTGTTCATTGTTTCGTGCTAGCTCGTATAAATTGGCAGAATTTGACTTACAAATTTATATGAGACGGCTCAAGTTCGAGATGCTAGAAGATTCGACGGGGAATGTAATATGTAATCTCCTCTGGAATGAGAGAGAAGTAAGCGAATTTACCAAGACAGATTTTACGTTGACAGTCTTAAGTAAAAACCCTGATCCAGGCCAACTTGAAAAACGTAAGAAGTATCTCAGAGGAGCAATCAACACGATTGTTGATTCAGAAGAATTCCATAAACATATCAAGCAACTGTTTGAGGAGGCAACCAAGGATCAATGCCAATTTGTTGACAAGCGTTTTGAAGCTGACACACAAAACACACAACAAACATCACAGCCCTAACAGGTATGGAAGTACTTTTGACACGTATTAAACTGCAATATTCAGATTCATGTTTATTTGATTGATTTCCCTAACACAGTATCTTTTAAAAAATCACTACAAATGTCTATTCTGAGAACACTCTGTTTTTTAAAAAATGGTAAAAGTATTTTTACGTTGTTCCTTGGGTATGAATTAGAGGTAAAAGTGTTGTTTCATCTCTGTATGTCAAGCCATTCGTCTGTAATCTGTTTACAGCTTAGAAGACTCACCCTTGTAATGACTCAGCAACCAATGTTTACAAATATAGTCATTAGGCCTAATTAAATTCCAAACTAAATCTTGTTATATTTTAATATTTATTCATGTTCATTGTTAATATTAGTAAAACCATTTTGTCTCTACATATATATAATTTATAATCAAAATTTATTCATTGGCTTACTCAAAATTATTATTCAAAACAATTCCTCCATTTAAAATACAGTACAAGATTATCAATAAAATTCAAACATATTTTTATTTATGTGAACCCCATGATTAAAGAAATGATTTACAACAATGAACAGTGGGAGTGCAGTTAAGGTATCCAAGAAGAACATATAGAAACTATTAGTGTGAAATAAATTGCGAAATTGTAAAATAAAGTATTGTCAAAATATCCAAATTAACTGAAGAAAGAATAATTTAGGCCTACATTATTCAGAAGAAAATTATTACTATAGAAGATTGGTGAGAATATTCCATTTTTATTAACTAAAAATGACAATTAGGTTAAGGTATCTGCAATCCTAAAATGCTATTGGAAGGGAAGGAAACGGGTCCGCGACGTAGGAAGTGGTAAAGGAAGTAGTAAAGGCGAGATGTTCGGGGTATGGGGTCTGTTTATGACCATTAGATTAAGGTATTTGCAATCCTAAAATGCTATGGGAAGGGAGGAAAACAGGTCCGTGACGTAGGAAGTGATGAAGGAAGTAGTCAAGGCGAGTTGTCTGGAGTGTGGGAACTGTTTATGACAATTAGAATTAAGGTATCTGCAATCCTAAAATGCTATTGGAAGGGAAGTAAACAGGTCCGTGACGTACTGTTTATGACGATTAGATTAAGGTATCTGCATTCCTTAAATTCTATGTGAAGGGAGGAAAACGGGTCCGCGACGTAGGAAGTGGTGAAGGAAGTAGTCAAGGTGAGCTTTCCGGAGTGTGGAAACTTTTTATGACGATTAGATTTAGGTATCTGCATTCCTAAAACTCAATGGGAACCGAGGAAAACGGGTCCGCGACGTAGGAAGTGGTGAAGGAAGTAGTCAAGGCGAGCTGTAAGTAGTGTGGGAACTGTTTATGACAATTAGATTAAGGTATCTGCAATCCTAAAATGTTATTGGAAGGGAAGGAAACGGGTCCGCGACGTAGGAAGTGGTGAAGGAAGTAGTAAAGGCGAGATGTTTGGGGTATGGGATCTGTTTATAACCATTAGAGTCTTCCGTAGTGGAAGCCATGTTGGATTTCTTTCCCATAAGAACAATGTTAGAACATACATCATTTGTGGACACGTAACGGCGTTGTTTGTTAAGATATAGCTTTGAAATTTATAATTTGTATTTTTAACATAATAGACTCGTGACTGAGGTTTTTGAATTTCGAAAATCCATTTTCATTTCCTTTCAATAATTAGCTTAACTTTAAGCTAATTAATAATCAATTATTCATTATAAAAATAAAAAATTGTGAAATAAAAAACGTCAATCACTAGAGGACCGCAATTCCTTACATTTAACTCCTTATCCATAATTATATGACAATTTGCTGATGAGATATTTGGACCCAAAGTTAACATTGTTCTTATGGGGAAGAAATCCAACATGGCTTCCACTACGGAAGACTCTTAAGGTATTTGCAATCCTAAAATGCTATGGAAAGGGAGGAAAACAGGTCCGCGATGTACGAAGTGGCGAAGGACGTAGTAAACGCGATATGTTCGGGGTATGGGATCTGTTTATGACCATTAAATTTAGGTATTTGCAATCCTAAAATGCTATGGGAAGGGAGGTAAACAGGTCTGTGACGTAGGAAGTGATGAAGGAAGCAGTAAAGGCGAGTTTTTCGGAGTGTGGGAACTGATCTGCAATCCTAAAATGCTATGGAAAGGGAGGGAAACAGGTCCGCCCTGCTAACCTTTACTACTTCTTTCACCATTTTATATTTTGTGGGCATGCTTCCATCCCTTCTCATAGCAATTCAGCATTGCAGATACATTAATCTAACTGCTACAAACGGTTTCCAGTTCCCAAACTCCACACTGCTCACCTTACTACTTCCTTCACCTCTTCTTACGTCGCAGACCTGTTTCCCTCTCTTCCCATAGAATTTTAAGATTGTAGATACCAAGATACCTTAATCTAATCGTCATAAACAGTTCCCACACTCCGAAAAACTCGCCTTTACTTTCCTTCATCTCTTCCTACGTCACGGACCTGTTTACCTGTGAAGGAAGTAGTAAAGGTGGGCAGTGTTGAGTGTGGGGATGGATTAATGTATCTGCAATGCTAAAATGCTATGGGAAGAGACTGGTTAAAATAATTATGAAGCACGAATCGTTACATATTTCGATACGTATTCAATCGTTTACAATAGAAATTTACAAGTGAGTTGACAACAGCTGAGTTTTACTCTATAGAGGCTAAAAACGAATTTTATTTCCTAAAAGTAAAAATGCTACTTTAGACCCGGAACGCATGCATCAATGACAACTGTTTTTACTGCAGTATGACAAAAACAATATAATGTGATGAACCCTTGATGACTCCGCTCAATTTTGTGGATGCATCTGCGAACGCCACCTAGTTAATTCGTTATTAAGGTCGCAATATGCTACATTGTCACAGAACCAACAGAACAGAATCAACTTGCATACGCCACGATAAATCATTACACATTCTTAAACCTAGATTAACAATGTTTGTTTCTAAGGCCCGATTTCACCAAACTTTTAAACTGCCGTTAAGCCTTGCTCTAACTGCAGTTAGCTCTTAACTGACGAAATCGGTTTTCACCACTCGCCGTTAGCGCTAGTTTAGACTAAACCGTCGTTAGATAATTAACTGCCCAATTTTGACCGGTTAACTTCATGGTGGAAGGAAAAAACATAGGTGTGCTATTCCCACATATTCTGACGTCACTCGGATTGCAAACAAAAGATCATCTGATTGTAACTGTCAAATTAGTATGTATTTGTTTTTATAATAATAAAAACAATAACAACCAAATCAAAACAATTACATATACTAATTTGACAGTTACAATCAGGTGATCTTTTGTTTGCAATCCGAGTGATGTCAGAATATGTGGGAATAGCACACCTATGTTTTTTCATTCCACCATGGGTTAACTTCTTTAATCTTTCGTTAAGTAAATATCAGCTGGCTTTAAGTTTAAAGTTTATATGGAATGGCGAAATGGTAGAAGAGAATACGGTACGAATTAGCTTTTGAAAGTAAGTGATGGCAATATAAGTAGCCTATGTTGTTCACCGAACTAGGTGGATAAGAGAAAGGGTGATTTTAATAACAAAGATGAAATTGATTTTATTATTAGATATGAACTATCAAAACGTTTAGCCTTTTTCTTTAGGAAATGAATACAAACCACTGTAGTGGTTTGTGTTTAGGCTATCCCACATAGTGCATTGCTTTAGGTTATCCCACAAGGTTCTTTGTTAAGGCGTATATCTGTGATCAGCGACCGCATTGAACTGATTGGCGATCAAGAGCCGTAGGCTACTCTTTTATCCCGGCTAAAAAGAGTGTCCCGGCTCTTCTACCAACATTATCAAATTTATTATTTCATTGTTCGAAAAAATAGGCTCCCTTTCCTTCTCCCGGCTTTGGGTAACCCTAACCCAACGTTCAAACAATTGTTTTGCGTTCGGTCAGACGTAAGTAAACCAAAATCTAAACCTAAATTGTCATTATTGTGCTAGTATTTTATAGAAAATAATTATTTTGGTGTTATCTACATTGTGTCTCGTTCTTGTAATTCTTTTGACTCCAATTTTTTTTTCACTACTTCAAATGTACCAAACTGGTCAGTGAACAAACAGAATATTGAACATCCCTGTAAAAAGTTGGATTGATGAGTCTTGACTCGACCGCAAAACTCAACCAATTTGTTCCTCGAATAATATGTTTGATCAACATTGCTTTGCCTTTATTTACTTATGTTAATTGTTTTGGTATTTATTCTTGCTTTCTGTTGTTATTTTGCTCAGAATCTATTGTATTCCTGTAAGCTTGCTGTCTCCAGTTTTGTTTTCACTACCTCATAAACACTGATTTATTTTCTAGGTTATGTTTACTTGCTCCCGTAACAGCCCGATATTATGACAGTTCACTGCCACTGCCACTTGGATTTTACTCTAAACTCTCGTTTATAAAACTAGCGTTAGTTTTGACGCGTTTTCGTTGGTAAAACCAGATTTCCTTAACTGTGGTTTAAATCGTCAGTTAGTTTTAACCGAAGTTTAATTAAACCATCGTTAGCGAGAATTTGGTGAAATCGGGCCTAAATTTAATTAAACATTATTTATTAGCAAAGGCGTCAAGTTATTTGCTTGTACTAGAGGTAACATACGTGATGGCCCAAACAATATAGGCTTACACTTAGATATATTAAGTTGCAGTCCATGACTTGTGCACCATTGATGTAATGATGTCAGATCTGCATTCACTGAACGTACTGCATCATCGACGGAATTAATATTACAATCTATATAAAGCTGCATATCATCTGCGTACATCATATAATTACAAAAAATAAGAGAACTACCAATTTTATTAATATAAAGTGTAAAGAGTAGAGCTGACAATGTGGATCCTTGAGGAACTCCTACACTATTAGAACGCCACTCTGAAATGTTTCCTGCTTGAGTTTTAACCCTTTGCTGTCTATCACTTAAATAATCCGTAAACCACTTAAGAACAGACTTTTCAAAATTATATGATTCTAAAATAGAAAGTAACAACTTATGATTAACAGAATCAAAAGCACGGCTGAAATCGAGTAACATTAA